CCCCCCCAACATTAGACCATGACAGCCCTGCCCTCCCCACCATGCTGGTCCACATCAGCGCCCCCCCCCCCACTGGACCAGGTCAGCACTGCCTCCACACCTGCAACTGTTCAACCAAACTCCTTAAGTAGCTCTCCAGTCCAAATAATTGTCCACACTAGTATATAGTATGCCAGAAAGTCAGTACCAGCATTCAGACCTTGGTTCCTAGTGCCAATTTTTTTTTTTTTTTAATACCATACCAGAACTCTGAACACTTCAAACCACAGAAACTTGGCTTTCTTTCAGAGGGGTAAACTACTGTGGTTTAGCTTTCACTTACCACTGTGCAAGAGTATACACAACCCTAGTTACCATAGAGCAGATGACAGTAGTTCCCCCCCACCCTCTTAATTCTCAATAAATTTGTTTCTTTATATCCTTAAAACAAACAGCCAACACATTTTCTGTAGTACAATGTACTGGAGCCTGATATGGTACAGGTTTTAATTCACATTTAGAAAGCTCAATTTCTGCAAATGACTTAGAGAACAAGTCTAAGTGGTAGAACAATCCAGACAAGCGACCAAGAGGGGCATGGAGAGGGAAATAAGATTTTTGTTCCTTCCCAACATTGTATAAACATCTGAAAACCACACACCAAGACTGTTTTTTTGGAATGCAAGAAGTTTCAGAATTAGGTGTCAATCACGTGGCAGCTATAATAATTACTGACAGAGCAACAGCAATGGTTGGAAAACAATACTTGTAAACAACTTCAAGGTAAAATGTTTTGCTCTCTTTGGAGTTAGTTATAGTAATTTTGGTGTTCCTTTTTCCTCTCTCCCTCCATTCACCTCCAACTTTCTATTAGGACATTCCCCTTCCATTAATGGGTACAAACTCTAGCCCCAAAGAAAATTAAGTTTCTTCAAACGGTGGTAGACAAGGTTCCTTGAGTGAATTTGATATCTTTTATTAGACCAACCCAAATGGTTGGAGAATAGTTATTAAGCAAGCTTTCGGGTTCAAAAACCCTTCATCAGGCTCAGGAAGCTGCAGCAGTTGGTGTGTGCTCTTCCTGGATGGAATGAAAAGTAAAGAAGCCAGGGGCTGGGCTGGGGAGTCAGTTGCCAGGCAGATTATAATGTATCAAAAATCCAATGTCTATGTTTAGTCCCTGATCTCTAGTATCCAGCGGATTGATGAAATGGAGCTCATAGGCTCGTCTCTGGGATGTGTTGTGTAAGTTTCCCTTGAGGATCAGGACTGAGAGATTGAGATTCAAATGGTGGTGGCTCTTAGCACAAGCAGCAAAGTTGGAAGCCTGTTATCTTCAGTTCTTCCAGGCTTCTGGGTTCCTATAGCAGTGTCTCATGCTGGTCTGATGAGTAACTGGCAAACTTGTAGCTGGATATCAAAGGCATCAAGCAATTAATAAAATGGGCATGCAGCAGTCTAATCTAATGGGGATTTCTAATCTACTCTTAAAGACTAGATGGGTGGAAAGAAAGAAATTATAGTCAATGCTCTGCTTTAAGGCTTTAGTCAGACTAATTACTTGACTTTAGAAGATTCTTAGCTTCTGCAGTAAGAAAATTTATCTAACAATTCACTCTGAATATTATCAGTGTTAAATCGAAAAAGGTGTGGTGAAGGGTTCTGTCATTACCCAATGATGGTGTGTATGCTTCAGCACTGCAGAATTATTTCCTGCCACATGGAGCTTTCTTTGCACGGTGCAATTCTCAGCTGCAGAGAGAAAACCCCAGTGCAAAGGAGTTCCCGCTGCTTGCATGCAAATTTGTGTCCCATTATTGGCTGTTTCTAAATTATTCCCACGTGGCGGCTACCGATTGGGTTTTCTGCACGATGATAGGGCCTTTGATGGCTTGCTAGCCGTATAAGAGGCTTGAGCAGTTTCTGCCCAAGTCGGAGATCTCCGAGAATCTCAGGAGGATCCTGAGAACCCCGATTCTGAGAATTCCGGGAGAAATCCGAGAGAATTCCGGCAAAGAGTCCACGATTATCTCGTGAATTTCTACGTAAATCTCGGACCGAATGATGGTTTGATCACCCATCAAGAATCTCTACCCGTCACCGGACGATCCTTGATGTACCCCTGCCCTGTGCGCTCGTTGAGAGTCACAGCACGGACTCTCGTATCGGTTTAAAGAGCTCTCATCGTTTGAATTTTTCTTCTTTTCTTCTGTCTACAACTGTAACCAAGCAAGTTTTCCTGCCTGCACCGCGACCATCTACAGTGTAAGTAAAATAATCTTTAATCAACCTCCACGCGTCAGTGCCTAATTCTAGTTCGCCGTGCTGACTTTCCCCGGCCCACGTGCCCCGGCTGCTGGCCACAGCCCCTCGGCCCCGACAGGTTCCAGAATACTTATATTTCAAGACTATTAACTGAAGAAGTTTAAGGATTAAGAACAGAATTCCTGAACTTCTCAGGCTGCAACCCTGTGAGATGTGCTGCCCACACTGTTCAAAAAGAAAGTTTTGTAACATTTATTTTAGAAGTCCATTACTCCAAAAGAAGAGGCAGGTGAGGGGGGTAGATTGGTTCAAGCAGATACTAGTTCAAGGTCAGAGAGAAGAAACACTGATTAAGGCATATCGATAAACATACCATGTTCATGCATGTTTACTGCTTGCAACCTTGACCTAGGTTACCCAAAAGACTTGTAACTTCACAAAACACCAAAATGGGATGTATGAAAACTTCGAAAAAAATTCAGTTTGTGATAAAGTTACAAAATATTACAAACTTAGCCTTTATTGAAAATTAAATATTAGCAAAAGCAAGATCTGTAAGAAATTTTACAAATGATTTACATACAAGAAAGCCAATATCAGACATATTCACAAATATGCAAACTGATAATTACAAAAGTACCTATTGGCAGCATGAATGCTAACCTTGCCACTGCAGTGTGCTCTACGATTGATATGAATAAGGCATAGAATTCACATTTGCACCAATTTATGTATTTTTTTTTAATCAAGCCCTTTAAGCTTTTTTTTTTTTTTTTTTTTTTAAATAATCCTGGATGCACAATTCCTAGCATGTTATACTAAAGCTAATCCTAAACCATTAGGATTGTTATAATGTCTAAAAACTAAGTGCTCAGAAGGACAGCCAGTTTGAAAACCCCAGTAGAAATTTAACTGGTACTAACCTTCAGATTACAATTTCTCCCTTAGAATGTACAGTTCTAGGTATGTAAACCATATTCACAGTTTATCTTTTAACAGAAGTACCATGTTACAATTTGGGTTTAACTTGTTCTTTAAAATTGGCTCTAAATTCAGCATACAATTCATAATGTCACCTATTTAGTGATGCATATATTTACAAAATAAGAATTTGTGCCATATTCATGGTCAAGACAATTCAGCAAGAGCAATAATATCAGTGACATTCAATACTATATTTCAAATAGTTGTGCAAATAGCAACAGGACAGTTGTTTCGGAGGCAAACTCTTGTTTGCAAAAACTTGAATACATCTTTAATATTGTAAACTTGGACTGTCAGCCTTAAGTCTTGCACTTCCCACAGCTTTAAAAAAAAGTCAGTGGCAAAATGTTATCAAGTCTTAGAATGACACAATCTCTTGTACACAGTGCAAATTGTTATGTAGATCATTTTCTACATATTCTCTGGCTGGATTGACTTCTCTGTGCAATTTAGTGGTCTATCCTTCTAATTGAAGAAGGTATCCATTTGAAGAACCATATGGTTCAGGGAATTTAGGGGGAATGGGTGGGAGGGAGGGGGAAAGCAGTTTTGTTATACTTCTCAAACCAGCGCAAGATGTGCAAAGGCAGCAAAAATTCCAGCTGTTATTGCAACCAGAACAGAGCAACTCTTCAGGAAGATCCAGGCAGTTAGTCACTTGGATTGGTCTCTAGAAAAATATGTGAGTATATGTTGGATTTTGATCAGACGTTCTCTCAAAGACATCATAGACAGAACTGAGAGCTGATATCTGGGGTCTACAGGGAGGACAGCTAGAAGCCACCAACACCATGCAGGTCCATTAGGTGTTGCCTAAAAATAAAACAAAAAAAAAATAGATTACTAGATAAGAAACTGAGGATAAGGCTAATAGGCCAAAAGACTCTTTTAAGATGTGGACCTAACCGAGCTAATCAGATTAAATTATTTTCAGTTACCATCATGTAAATATCCTCATACAAATAAAAGAGCCACCCTACCTAGAAGTACACAAATGTATCAGTCCATATTGGATCCGCACTGATCAAAGGAAAAATCAACATTATCAGCAATCAGCTTTTTTTTTGCTGGTGTAGCTAATAATGTCACTGAAAAATGCCGTGTGCATGTGTGGAGCCAGGAATGCAGCCTGGCAGCTTGGAAAGCAGCATCCGGCCAGTAAGCCTCGGGGGGGGGAGAGGGGGGAGATTGAGACCCCCACAGTGAGGGAGGGAGTGGGGCTAGGGTCGGGGAAGGAGCAGGTGCTGCCCAGCCAGGGCAGGGCAGGGCAGGGGACTGAGCAAGGGGTGGGGTGGGGGCTGGGCTGAGGCTTTGCTTAGGGCAGACGGCAGCGGCACTGGGTTGCTACAGGGTGGGCTATAGCCACCCCAGAATTTGCCATAGTCGCCCTGCCTAGCGCTGCCCACTCACCCTGAGCACAGCACTGGTCCAGACCCCTGTCAGGAAGAGGCCAGAGCAGCCCCTGACCCCGGTCCGCAGCAGGCAGCCCGCACTCACCCCATGCACAAATCCAGGGGGCACATGCCCTCCATAACTCCCTTGGGGGTGCATGCAGCAGCAGGGAGCCACCCCCACCCCACCTACCTGCGTATCCTGGACGAACCACCCATGGCTGTCCCGCATTTCACCCCTGCTGCACCTGCCCCTTCCTCTGCTGCAGCCTCATTCCCTCCCTCACCATGGGGGCCTCGATCTGCCTCCCCAACGCCACTTCCTGCCCCCGTGCCCTTCCTCCACAGACTTACTGGCTAGACACTGCTCTCTAAGCTGCCAGGCTGCATGTCGGCTATCGGACTGGTATCAGCCGATATGGCTGGTTAATAAATCGGCCATCAGCAAAAAAAATAAATAAATAAAAACATTTTAATTGGTGCACCCCTAATCTTACCCTAAGAAGGCTATCTAGAATCAACAGGGTAAGGTGCCTAGGATCCCTATACAGTGAATGGGGAAGAGTTAGACACCTCCAAAAGCCTGATCCAGAGCCCCAAAGCCAGCAGTCAACAACCTGTTTAGGTTGCAGACCAAAGTGACCCAGTTCAGGTGAGAGGTGGACAGGCAGGTGCTAGGACCCAGCCACCACAGCTGTTCCCCATCCCTGCCTCACAGGGAGAGTGACTACAGTTAATACTTCTCCCTCAGGTGGCATGGGGAAAGTGACAGGTGCAAAAGCTCCAAAACCATGGGTGAGATAAAATGGCTGTGGGATGAATCCAGCCCACAGGCCGCTGATCCCTGTGCTAATAATGTAATAGTGATGATACAAGGGAGGCTACAGTAAAAGCCCATGTAAGAATCATGAGTTTCTATCTGGAGCCAGGTGGCAACAAGAAGCCCGAAACCCAAAAGCAGCTGAGTTCAGAAGACAAGGCAGCTCACTTGGTAACTGTGGCACTTCATACTCATACAATACATATTACTGAGTCACGTAAGCAACACTAAGCAATTGAAAGCCCCTTTGTTCCTGTTAATGACAGTTATTTTCCTACCTCATGAACGACAGTTATTTAAAATTGTATAATATAGCACTGCCTTGCTGTGTCACTATAGCCAATGTTGTTTAACAAAGGTTATTAAGGGCTGTAATTAAGAATCCACGTTTTAGGATTACATTACACATATTTCTTGTGTTTAGGACTATATTTTTCCTTTACAGCAGGAGCTAGCAACCTTTCCTGCACCAAAGGCCACTACTTGAGACCCAGCCCCCGCCATGGGCTGTATCCCAAAAGTCCCCAGTAATCAGTAAATGCTATGAGGAAAAGTAAGAAAAAAAACCCACAGGTGCCAGGACCCTGGGGGTGCCTTCTCTGCTGCAGCAGTGACCAGAAACAATCTGGCAGACCACAGGACTTTCTGCTGCTCAGGCTAGAGCATGTAGTTGATTCACTGAGCTGCTGTAGGTCAGATCCACCATCTTCCTGAGCCGTAGGTTGCTGACCCCTGTTCTACAGCTACGCACACAAACCGCAAATTAAGTACAAAGCAACTTCTGTATCAGTTTGCTGTGGTCAAAATTAGTCTTGGTCTGCTCTTCCCAGAAGGAATCAGGTATGTAGACATCAATCAAAACAGGATTTAAACACTGACAGTAGCTTTTTAATACTGTCACAGTACAAACATTAAACAAACTAAGAATAATTACAGAATAATGAACAGTTACTCAACTGAAGGGCTGCCCAACTGGTGGCCTACAGGCTTCATGCAGCCTGCGAGGGGTTAAGTTGTGATCAGTAGGCTCCTACCTGGCTGCCATTATTCCAGCTGCAACAACATCTGGAATCTATAGCCTCCCACTATGTCCTCTGGTCTCTGCTTTTCTGCACTGGCGTCAGGCCGTGGGGCAGGGCAGCACAAGGAGCCAAGGGCAAGCCCAGGGCTGTATGGGTGCTCTGCTCAATGAGTGGGGGTGCCCATGCAGGTACATGGTGCTGTGGTGGTTTGGGGGGCATGCAGCCTGGGGGCCCACAACCCTGCTAGTGTGGCCTATACAATGTACAGCCCCTAGCTGCTTAGAAGTTGGACAGTCCTGCTCTACTGCAATGATTTCAGTGCACTGTTAAGTCCCTTAGGTGGTTTCTCTTAGTACACACAGATTAAATTGCACAGGATAGAAGAATCTAAAGATGGTTTACAGTCACAGAATTAGGGAATGAACCTGAAGCTCAACTTGGGTGATGTCATTTGCATCTGATTCAATACTCTGTGATGTCAGATAAAAACAATTCGTGCTCCAGAAGTCCACCCCAAGTGCATAGAGTAAACAGAAATACAGCAGATTGGCGCAATGAAACAGCTTTAGAGAAGCACCCATTTTCTTCCCAATCCTCATGCTCCGAGTACAGGCTTCCCAGGTCTGACAAACATTTTCAGTTGCAACTTGTATATTAATATCTTGATATCACTATTCAAAGCGTCTGCATGCCACTGAACTTTGACCAGAGCAGTATAATGGGTTCTGAGGTAGGAGGGGTTTTGGTTGGTCGGATGGCACTCCGAATTCTAACACAGTAGCCTAAACCTACTAAAAAGGTTTTGAAAAAAAAACTGAAACCCCTTGAGTATCCTAAATCCATACCGTGTTCCTGAAGGTAATTGCAGTATTTCTATTATCAAAATATCAACTAGATATCACTTGATCAAGCCTTTGTGATTTATTGAGTTAACAATCCATATTTGTGGGCTGTGGGATGCTGACCCCTGACCAACAAGATGCATCTGTGCTTAGTGTTATCTGAACCACTACCTCTCCTCAGAGTTTAGGCACTTACACTTCATATACCTCAATCCCTTGGAGCACAGAGTACCAAGGAGGAAGATGTTTAACATATACTAAAAGTAGAGTTCCTAAGAAGCACAGCACTCAGCCACTGTCACTTGAAAATAACGACCAGTGGAACTCACCTTTTATGTAAAAGCACTTGCCTGGACATGTCACACTTCCTAGGTCCCCCTGTGGAGATTCAAGCCCACATCTCTTGCCTCCTAGTCAGCAGGGGCCAATCTTTTAGGCAGTTATGCCGCAAATTAGCCCTGCACCCTCGCCACCAATTGCCAATCCCATCTTCTTCCTGATCTGCTGCTTTTTCTGCTACCTGCCTTGTCTGTCAATATGATGCCTGTCCCCTGCATGTTCTGCCATGCGCCACACTAAGGTTACCTATACCATTTGTAGCACCCGTGTCACAGCTTAGCTACTCCCATCAGGCAGCAGGATGGGAAGTGTTGGGGGGAGGAGGTGCTGCAGGGCCACCTATCCCTCTGCAGCAGAGGAGGGGATTGGGCAAGCTTAAGGTAACCCTTCACTAATTATCTTCTATACCTGGGAAGTTGTAACAAATTTACATTGGGGGTTGTTTTAAATTCAAAGTTATCTTGGATTGAGTAAACATGGTAGTTGGAATCAAATCTGAGAGCTGTTTCCTCATGTTACTTCTACCATTTTATGAAAGTTGTTCCCAGCATGGCATCTGTCACCATACTGCACTTGCAACAGATGCCTGGATAGTTACAATCCACAATTTCAATAGGGTTTGTCCACTGGATGTGTATATCATCCACCTGCTCTTGATCTGGCAATTTGTAGTAACCCTTACGATGTGATCAATAATAAATTAAAGTTGTAACCCTTCTCTTCCACTGCTTCCCAAGGGACCCAAGGGAAGCAGTGGAAGAGGAGGGTTACAACTTTATTCAAATGTTTTAATCTTTCTATATTCCTGTTTAATTCCATGTTGAATTCAAGCTCCATATTCACCTACAGAACTTGTGCATAGATTAAAAAGAAATCGTGTTAACTGCCCTTATTCCTCCAGCTTCCTCAACTCTCTTTAGTGTTAACTGGAAGGGTCTTAGGTGCCCTATCTGCCAACTGTGAGATCTCAAAACTCATTATTTATACGAAACTCTTCTTCCACGTTTTCAACAACAAGCACTGTCAGAATGAGTATTCTATGCATCGGATTGTAAGTTCTGAAGATCAGGAAAGTGACTTGTTGAGAGGCATTTACATTTATGGCACTATATAAAATAATAGAAGCCTCTAGAAATGGAGTTTCCATTATAGGAGCTATTTGGACCTTGCTCCAAATGTAATGTCATGTCATTTCAACAAGTGACTTGCTATATATAAAAGTAGTTAAATATTGTTGACTCAAAATAATGAAGGTTTTATACCAAATAGTCAAAGTTAATTTTGAAGAAGCTACAGGCTGGAAAATGAGTACCAGTGCAACAGACTGCAAGCAGCATTTAAAGAACATCTATAAATTATACAATCACTGTCAATGTAAAGCAGCATGGGAGAATTCAGTAACAAAAAACAGCAATGACTAAGCTGCAGCATTCTTTAAAGGCCAAGTTCGTAGCTAGACTTGGGTCCTGCTTTTATTCAGAGGCACAGTTCGCATTTGCAAGAGAAATCTACATTTTTTTGCATACACAAGTCTTTACAAATTATGCAGCTATAAAAATATACACAAATGATGTAGCCATGTAACATTAAGACTGCTACCACCGTGTGTACGCAAGAGATCAGGATACTGTATTTATGGCCAACATCTGATTAGTAATAAAAAGGAATAGGTACAGTATATAGACAATCCTATTTGACCAGTAGTTTAAAGTATTCAAAAGAAATACGATCATGTTTTAATTTAACTTTGCTTTTTTTAAAAAATGCATTATCATCCATTCCGCATGTCAGCAACAGGTCCATATGCAGCACAAAAAGTAAAATCAGTCATCTTTTCGTCCCACGACTGGGCGGTACATATTGAGGGTTATAGATTGTACAGACAGGACAGGGTGGGGAAAAAAGGGGGAGGGGTTGCGCTCTATGTCAATGAGCAATATACATCAACCCTTATTCAAGACGGAATCGAAGGATGAGGAAGTAGAAGGATTGTGGGTTAGGCTACATGGGGGGCAAGGAGAAAGGGATTTGGTGGTAGGGGTCTGCTACAGACCCCCACACCAAGGGGAAGAAATAGATTCAGGGCTCCTGAGGCAGCTCTCGGAGACCATAAAAGCTAAAGAGGCGATAGTCATGGGGGACCTAAACTACCCAGACATCTGCTGGGAGACGCAGACGGCAAAGTCCCATCCTTCACGCAGGTTTCTAACCTGTGTACAGGACCTCCACCTGACACAGGAGGTACACGGTCCCACTAGGGGGAATGCCATACTGGATCTGGTATTGGCAA